ATATATATATATATATATATATATATATATATATATATATATATATATATATATATATATAGACAGTATGTATATATACACAAGATCAATAATAAAAAAAATGTTAATAAACAGATGTCATCCAAACAACAAGTGTACTAAAAGGTGTATACACTTCATACTTGGTGAAGTCTCCTTTTGCATGAATTACTGCATTAGTGTGGCGGGGCATGGAGGTGAATTGATGAGGTGTTTAGGTCACTCTAATTATGGCCTTCAGCTTGTCTATAATCTTGGGTCTGGTAAATCTCACATTTGTCTTCATGATGCTCCAGGGTTTTACGTAGCTTAGAAGGTTTGTCACCCAATCAAGCACAGTAATATGCTAATCATTAAAGCAGATATTGATACAGTGTGGACATGTTGATGGAAGATGAAATCAGAATCTTCTTGCTTGCAAACGGAAAACAAAAAAAATCCCTTTCAATGCTTAAAATATAATAAACAGATAAACCTCAAGCAGTTTGGATTCTGTTCCTCTCATTTCCCCCTCCAGGGTCTTAATGGGGAACACTGTTTTTTTTTTTTACATTGGCCCCTTGATTTTACGTAAATTACGTTACTTGGATATTACAAAACCGAATATCTTCGGAACAGCTCCAAATGACACAAAACTAATATGGGTGAGTAGAACATGGTGTAATAACGTAAAATCAAGGGGACAATGTAAAAAAAAAAAAAAAAACGGTGCTGCCCTTTAACTTTTGCATGAGATGCAGAGCTTACTGTTATTGTAGACTTTGGATTGCGGAACAATAGTGTAGCCTTTTCTTCTCTTTAGCTAAGAGACTTCTGAGGCGATATTTCATGTAGAAGTAGCTCAACAAAAGAAATGCAACAGTTGTAGCCCATGTTACAATTGTTGCATTTCTACTTATTTTTAATCCATGCAGGCACTGAACGTGGACACTTTTTTATTTCATTGTCCGACTGGATTAACAATGAATATAAAGTCTTGTGATGCTGAAACTGTGACTCCAGTGAACCAATTGTCTAAACTTTTTGATCTCCCAAATGCTTGAGCACTTTTTTCAGTCATAATTTTTTGTCTTTCATTTACATCTATACTTTACTTTAACAAAGTAAAGTAAATGTAATAATGATTCTTTATTTCAGCAATTCTTAAACAACTTGCATCGATAGTGTTCATTTTTCACCGCTTATTAGTAAACAATGAAACCAGCCCTGTTAGTCCATATTAGGCAGGCCATAATATGGTTTTGCACACAATGTGTTTTGTTGGATTGTTTTTTGTTTTGTTTTTTACAGGTCCTTCCTAATATTTAGCTATCCTTTATAACATTAGCTACACCCAATAATCTTAAAAAAAAAACTCCTGAAATAAATACCAAAAATACATCTCTGTGTTCCATGAATCTATAAAAGTCAAATTTTTTGAATGCATTTAATGTAATAAATGTTCATTCTAGGATATTTATTTACTGAGATGCACCTATACTTGCAAAAGGTTCTGGAGACAAAAACAAAGTACTTTAAAGATTTCTGTTTCCTTACCGTTTGAGAAGAGCGCCCCCTGGGGGAAGCTGAGCTCATTGCTGTGCTCTGCTTCACAGGAATACATAGCCTTGGCATCCCTATAAAGCCAAACCAAAAGAAAATGTTGTAATGAATCTGAAATGGTGTAAATAATTAGGCCCACAGTTTGAAGATGGTTTTATTTTTACCTTCCATTTGGGATGGACTGTGAAGATGAGGGGTTTTCAAACAGCAGAGCTCTCGCAGCAACCCTAATATAGAAGAAAAATAAAATCCCTCCATAAAAGAAAGATAATCTATACTCTTATAAAAATAAATAAAAAATAAAAATCACAAAACTTTCACAATTTTTTTTTTTAGCAAAATTCTAATACTGACTGACCTTTTCTGACCATATGACATCTATCCACTGAACTTCGCCAGTGTTCCACATTTCACAATGAAGTGAAAAGGAAAAACTACATATAAGGGGAGGTTTCCTTCCGCCAGGAAGACGGAGCCTCTCCAACCCAAAGAATCAATTTAAAATATGCAACACAGACGTGCATAACCCCGGCGCATGCAAAATGTAGGAGTCAAGGGCATCAGCAGCGCCTGAAGGGCTAACTGGGTGGGTACTATGCAGGGAAAGACTACTCTTGAGACCGTGTGACTGGCTCCTCAGACACCAAAAGTAAAACAATCTATTTGTCCCAGGAGAACAAGCACAGACTGCTGCTGGGTCACATCAACCCTGGAGCAAGCAGAACGTAATTAAAGCCAGCCCTCCCACCAGTGCAGAGAAGACATAAATCTCCAAACATGCACTCATCCGATTTTAGAAACCTCTCAATGCTCATAAACCGACAAGGGAGGAGGCAGACAACTCAGAGGGGAAGGAGGGAGAGTGAGGAAGGAAGGCAGAAAGAATTGTTGCTAAGTTATTGTGCTCTGGTCCTGCTGGGCTATTGCATATTTGTGGTGCCAATTGGATGCTGTCTCTCTGTATAAATATTAATTGTATTAAAGTAGCTAGGCATACAGCTCTAGAGCTGTTTCCACATTTTGTCACGTGGGAAAAAGAAATTTTAATATACTTTAATGATGTATTTATTTTTTCATGTTGCACACCAACACAAAATAGAAACAATCTGAATAGTGTGGCATGCTTCCAGAGACTGAAACTGTTGTCCCTTCTTTAACTCTGCGTCATTCAGATCTGAAAGAATCTCTGTATGATTTTGTTATTTTTTTTGCCTGAGATCATGAACTGGATATACGACTGGACTGTGACTGGGCCATTTAATCCAAAGCTTATGCATCAATCTCTTCCCTTGTAGGTCTGATTGTATGTTTATGGTCTTTGTGCAACCAAAGGATGAATGCATTCATTCATTTTAAATATGAGCAGCTTTCTAAAAAAATATAGCTTCCAATAGCCGTAAGCTTGGACCTCCATGCTATTCTGCGGGGATGGTGCGGGATTACAGTTTAAGCTTACATTTTCTTTTTTTTTCATAAAAAATAGGTCTTATCTGAACAGAGCACCATTCTCTCCATGTTTGATATAGCCCTTACTTTGTCACAAACTCTGACAGGTTTTTTAAGGCTTTTATTATGCCCAGGGCCTTTAGCCTGGACAGCCAGATTTATTTAAGACGTATACATCGTAAATGGCCTGTACTTATATAGCACTTTTTCAAGTCAGGAGACTTGACCAAATTTCTTTACACTACATGCAGTCATTCACCCACTGATGATGGCAAGCTACGTTGTAGCCACAGCTGCCATGGGGCTCACTGACAGAAGCAAGGCTGCAGAACACTCTCACCACCGGGCCCTCTAACCACCATGAGTAGACAATGCAGGTGAAGTGTCTTGCCTAAGGACATATTGACACTGAAGCCGGTGCCAGGGTTTGAACTCCTTCATCCGATGCCACTGCCGCCCCCCATTGCAAAGCAGTGTGGAAAGGAGCTAGTAGAGTCCAATTTCAAAGGCAGGACCTGGGCGGTACTAACAGAGTCGGCAGTAACAGGTTAGAACCAGTCAGTGGTGACGACCTGACACCAAAAAGCCACTCTTAAAGCAGCCAATTTTGATGAAATATCCCGCTACCAGACAACTAGGGTCTTCTAGCTCCTGTCTACTCTATACACCCAGAACTGGAACCAAACATGGAGAAGCAGCATTTAGTTCAGATTCTCCACTTATCAGGATCACACTCCCAGAAGACTGTAAAAGTGCTGAAAGCCTGAATTCTTTTAAGTCAAAGTTAAAACCCTGTTTGTTTAGAACTGCCTCTAACTGTTGAAGTTAAACTATCAACTGAGGTATTATTAGTTTAATGCTGTGGTCCAACTGCTTTATTTGTTTCACATTGTGCTTTTATCATGTTTTTATATTCATTCTCTTTGTTCTGATTTTATTTTGCGTCCATTTTATTTTTTCATCCATACAAAGCACTTTGCATTGTCTTTTTACTGAACTGTGCTATATAAATAAACTGGCCTTGCCTCATTTGTGACATAATAAAGAGCAAAATTAAAAACACTGCTCCGATTGAGCTGCCATCTTGACTTTGGAGGTTACAGAAAACCTTTGCATTGTGTGTAATTCTGACAGAAGCATAAACTTACACCTCCTGCACTCTGATTAGCACAGTCAGAGTCTGATTTCTACTCTACCCTCTGTAAGTCAGTCTGGCTGGCCTGGCTAAAGAGGCTCCTGCTTTCTTCCCTGATTAATTCCGTTTACTGTTATCAAAAAATACATTGAAAATAAAATGTGTGATTTATCATTAGAAGGAAAAACAAATTGATGCCTCCAAATCCACCCCTTCTAAAAGAAAGAAAAGATATATAACTATATCTATAGGTAGATTAAGTGAACAATTAATGCCTGTTATTGAGCTGTGTCGCTGCAATAATCAGCAATTGTGGGGCTCTGACTAAATACAGGAACAGGTTTAAAAAAACAAAACGTTTGCGATGACTTTTAAAATATTTATAATATTCAAACTTATCTTATTCCTTCATATTAAATACTACAAACTATTGTCATTAAAACTATTAAGTCCATATCACCATGCCAATGTTTGCAGCTGTTCTATCCTTACATGACTGATTGAGCAGGACTCTTTGAGCTTAAAATAGCTTTTTTATAATATTAAATTAACCTTTTTATCCCTTCCTCTAGACCTGCCTGCTTCGTTTTCAGTTCCTTATTACGTTGCTTGTTTACTAATGTTTTCTGAAAAAACTTTGATCCCTTCAGATCTATACTGAGGCCTTTACCCACAGGAGACCATCTACTGACTGACGTTCTTTTTCCCCCAAGTGATTAAGGGAGTTCTTAAGGAAACTGATTGCAGAAGATTAGAGGTATCAAAGTAAAGCGCAGGCAAACAACTGCCCACAGCACCTTTTACATGTTTTTTCACCTACAGATCTAATGAAAATCTTGAGTTAAAAGCTTTGTACACCCAGTGTTGTTCCTTTTCTACTGTTTAATCATAAGTTTGTGGTTTAAATCTAACAAAATAAAAAAAAAATATATGAGTTAAAACATTTTTGCAAGATAATATATACATCCAGTATCTAAATTATCTAAACACCAACAAGTCTTTGTTTTCTTTTGGATAACCGATGAACCATTTTGTCTGTAGAATATATCTCGAAACTCAGATAAAAGTTGTAAATCATTTGTTGACTTAGAACGACACTAAGAAACTAGATATACAACCAAAACAAATAACCAAACTGTTCCAGTTTGCTAATCATTTAAGGACAAAGAAAAAGATAAAAGAAAAAGATACGAGTTTTTTAAAAAACTTTGTTACACTGAGCCAGGCCTCTGGTAGCCGTTGTTAGTCGAGGCGTCTGTCCTGCGGCGGATCACTTGCTTGGGTGGAAGGCTTGGGTGATCACCGGGCTTTAAACTCTCTTTGGCCTCCAGTGTTGACAAACTTTGAACAGATCCAGAGGAGCTCCGCTGGCCTTCAGAGTCAGATATGATAATAAGAATTGTTTTCAGAGGATCAGAAGACAAAAAAAATCTAATAACAAAGCATCTGGAAGCAAACACCCTGGATTCAATAAATCATCCATTTCATTTAAAACATGATTTGCCTGTTTTTATAGGTGCAAATACTTTAGGTATGGAAAAGGTTACATAGGATGAACCAGATTTTTCCATAAACCTTTTTCTAATACCTTGGCTGTTCTTTGGGGATTTTTTTTCATATAATATAAGGAAAGCATATTTAAGCCATTGTCTTCAAATTACATCACTATCTGTTGCCACATTTATTTCAAATGATCGTTACAAAGCCATGAGATCACCATCTTTGCAAGTATCAAAAGTCTAGTATTCCTATAGTTAACATGGCCTTCTGGCTTTAATGGCAGCAATAAAAAATATCTGCTTATTTGGGCATTTGGGAATTTTTTGTTTTTTCAAATCAAATTTTAGGTGGTGTGAAATAAAGCGTATGTATTTCTAATATAGCATGTGTTAAAACTTGGTTTAAACTGGGAATGTCAGACTGATGATTCATTTTTCTTTTGAAAAAAGGAAAAAAAAATGTTCTTACCATTAGATCCTTGCAGGGATTTCAGTGATGGAGAAATGTTGCGATTCAGCAGGACTGGCTTGAGGTCAGTGAAGCAGTGGGGGGCTTTCTTGGGTGCAGGAGACAGTTGAGGTGTTGTGCTAATGGAGGACAGGCTAAAAGTGTCCTCTGATTCTCCATCTGTTCGACCTCCTTCCTCCCTGGAGCTGGACTCGGGGCTGCTGACACACCCCGCAGTCCTAGGGCCGTTGGAGAGCTGCGAGGGCGTCAGACGGAGGAGGTCCGCCATGCTGTAGCTTGTCCCTGGTCTGGAGGATGCGGTTTTGGAGGAGGTATTCTGCTCAGAGGAATGGGATGAAAGAGACTCCATGCTTCCCATCGGAGTGCTGCTTGGACTGCTGCTCAAGGTGTCACCTATGCAGGGACCAGAAAGGAGGCATGCAGGGCCCTCATAAAAACCTGCTTGCTTTGTAAAGATAAACCCCATATTTTTCCTTGAGGAAGAACATTATTTCTATTATTACAATCACTCCAGAAATAAATTACTTTTAGAGCAGTTACAAAAAAAAAAAGTATGTCATGGCATAACCTTCGTTAGTAAGCAACCATACTGTGGTACTCACTTTCTGCATCTGCAAGGCACAGTGTTGGGGTATAAATACTGCGGGGCTTGCGGGGCCCCTTGGACAGGCAGATGGCTCTGTTCCTGCGGGAGCCGGTCCTGCTCTGCGGTTGTGGCAGAGGCACATTGGGATCCGGAGGCTGTTGAAAGATCTGTAGGTAAAGAAAAGAGCGATTGATGTTCCTTTTTTTTTCTTCTTCCACACTGTTTACATTTGATCACTGCTGCACTTTAAGAAATGCAAATGTCATGAAAAATGTACAAAACGAAATTTTGTTTTGTATACTCTCTCTGTATTCAAAATGACGATACAAGTTGTCTAAGTCTAAGTCAAAACAATCTTTATCCATTTTCAGAAATGTGCCATAGTTGGCATCCCTGGCAAAGGTGTGTAAAAGGTTCTAACATTCATATGTTATTGCAGAAGTAAAATCACAATGAATTTGTTTCATCTAGTCTTTTATAGGAATGCATTTGATACAGTGAACAGAAAAGTTGGATTAGGAGAAATGCAGAAAAATAAGCAGTGTCATGATTCCTGGCACTCAACTTGACCAATGAAAACTTCTTTTTTCCCTGGAATTTTCACAAGCTTTACATGTGGTCATCTTATAGAAAATACAGCATTGAATTGAAAAAGCTTCCTGGATGGGAAACTAATCGTCTTTAAACTTGGAAGTCCAGTTAGATGTCTGAGAATCTTAACCAGAGCATTAAAAAAAGTGTGCAAGTACAAAAGATGAATACAGATGTTCATAAACAAGGAAGTAACTCTTTTTTTATGTTTCACATTTAAACAGGGGAAAAACAAGAGAACATGCCTCTGAACTTGGAAAGAGGTTTGTTGATTTTTAATGAGTGAGGTTCCAACGTGAAGCTTGGCAAACTGGACTCATTAATGTTTTTTTTTTTATTGCTGTTTTTTTTTTTAACCAGTGTCTAATGTCGTGTCTGACTTTTCAATCTAACTGCATCCATCCATCCATTTTCTAACACGCTTATCCCAAGTGGGGTCAAGAGGGGTGCGGGTGCCTATCTCCAGCTGTCTATGGGCGAGAGGCGGGTTACACCCTGGACAGGTCGACACTGTATCGCAGGGCAACACAGAGACAAACAGGACAAACAACTATTCACACACACACTCACACCTAAGGAGAATTTAGAGAAGCCAATTAACCTAACAGTCATGTTTTTGGACTTTGGGAGGAAGCCGGAGTACCCAGAGAGAACCCACGCATGCTCAGGGAGAACATACAAACTCTGTTCCACAGGTTGGGAATAGAACCCAGAACCTTCTTGCTGCAAGGCAAGGCAGCAGTGCTACCCACTGCGTCACTGAGCAGCCCATTGCTGCTTAGCTCCGACCAAAAATAGACTATTGGTTTATCTTGGTTAGAAAGTCAGAGATTTGTTTGTTTTTTTGGATTTCTAATACCAAATGAGATCTGGTGCGTTTTGGCCCTTACTACCTGTTTCCTAAATGTGTAACTATAAGATAACACCAGGAGTAATTTCTTTTAGCCAGTTTTCAAAATGGGACATATGAAAATCACATGCCAGTCATGTAAGTCACATGTGAGTCTTCGTAAGTCTGAAAATAATTTGTTCAATTAAGGACATGTACTTACACATACTTATGTAGTAGAATTTTTTACTGGTCTCCATAAGAGAAAAAATAACTTCCTGTGTCCCTGAGGTATGATAACAAGGCCTGTTGATCTTAGCTTGACTTGAAATTGGAAAGACAGTTGAAATATGTCAATAGTTAGATGTATCTTCATGTTTAATAAATCATGGCTGTTAGCTGAAAATTGCTAATTTAAAAAGTCAAAGAAAAATATTTGAAACAGAAGGAGCTGAACAGACTAGAATGGGTCAGGTTTGAGGTTACTTTTCCCCACTCAGAGTGAGGGGGGTGGAGGTAAAATGATCTCTGAAGCTCACTGTTAAAAAGCTGTAGCACCTAGTGGAGCCACCATGTCTGCATAACAACAGTTTATTTTAAGGCCTTTATACATACAGTATCTCTATCAGGGGGCTGTCAATGATTGTGAAGGGTGCTGCATGTTATATGGTGAATATAAATGTCATATTCACCATATATATATATTTTTATTTCTCTTTTTAAATTAAACCTCTATAAGAATGGGGCAATTTAAAAAAGGGCAGATTTCTCTTCTGAAATAAACAGAACTAATAATGTGTGTGTATTTTTTCAATTTAATTCTGGAAGCTCTAAAAAACTTCATCTAAACAATTCCAGTAAGTTTTTGGTAATAGTTAGTCTAAGTTATTGATACCAACAGTGTATGGAGAGAATTTTGTTTAAAAATAAATTTGTTTCTGTATTTCTGGACTAAACATTTTGTGCATACCGGTAACTTCAATTATTCTAAATGTTTGTTCAAAAACAAATACAGAATAAAAAATAAAAATTCAGGCACAGATCTTATATTTAAGATATTGCTGTGCATACAAGCATTAAATTCATGCACACGAATCAGGTTATGAGAACAAAACGTTTTTCGAAACACATTTCATGCTCCCAGATTAATTTGTACATGGTGCGTTTAAATGCTGGTGGAAAGCTCGGTCATCTGAGTTTGTTTTTTTTTTTTTTTCGGATTATTATTTCATATTTATTTTCACATTTATTTCACTCTATACTTGTGCCAAACTTGCAAAGAGGAATTTCTGTGAAAAATAGGATACCTCAGCACCACTTGGTTAGAAGAAATACAACTACATCTACTTTTTATTGTTCAATGGTTGCTTATTTAGATGCATTTTTGAGCAGTACGAAAATATGAGTACAAGCGGAGGTAAGAGCCTTTTTTTTTGGCATACTATATTATGCAAGAGATGTTTCAATGGTTTGAAGAGCCAGAGCTAGATTTTTTTTTTTTTTCCATCAAACTTTTGCATTTTTTATCAAGGTCATGAGTGACCCACTATCTTGAAATTAGTGTAAAATTGTTCTACTAGACTGAACAGAATGGTTACACTCATTTTTATTCAGTTTTAAGACTTTTCATGTTTTGTTTTTTTTTTGTTAAAAGTTTTCATTTTTCTTCAATAGCTTTTTGGTCATTTGACTCAGTGACTTAAAAGAGCAGCAGACTAAAACCTGAGTTCCTGAACAAATCGGCCTTGAGCTAGCTGCTGCTAAATCTGAATATCTTAATCTTGAATATCTTATATCCAAATCCAATCAACTTCATGTGGTCGCCATAACTGTCTCCTTCTCTTCTTCGTCTCTCTCAGTCTGACTGCCTGTCTTTTGAGACACCTAACAGCTGTTTCTTTAAACCCAGGGATTATATTTGTAACTGCTCAACTATACATGTAAACAAACAACCACAGAATAATAAAAACTAGATATAGTTGTACGTATTCTAACTAATGTATGCTGAGGTATCCCATTTTCAACAGAAAATCCACATTGTTCAGCAAAAGTATAGATTGAGATAAGTTCAGTGCAAAAGAATGCTAGAGTCTGAACAACACTCAGATGACCCAGCTTTCCATCAGCATTTAAACACACCATGCCCACATGAATCTGAAAGAGTAAAATGTGTCTCAAAAAACGTTGTGTTATCATAGCCTCTATGCATAGGAGCCTTTGTGAAAGTCATAAATATCAGATTTGTATCTCTATTATTATTTTGGATTCATAATTTTTCTATATTTGTAACTGTTATTGAACATTTACACGTACCTGAAGTTATGCACATAATGTTGTTTACAAATTACATCAAAATACAAATCCAGCAGTAGAGACACAGAGCCTTACTGAAAAAAATTCTCTACATAAGGGATTTCTGTTTAAAAACAATCTCTGACCTTGGTGAAGTTCTCGATGAGTATTTCCACCACAATGTTCTGAAACTTAATGTTCATCATGGCAGCCACCGTCTCCTCCTGCGACCGCATCAGCGTCGGCCCAAAGATAACACCCAAGTTGGACACTGTCATCAAGTTAAACTGGTTTTGTGCAGAAACTCTGTGTGGACATCAGGAATGTTTAATTAGTCTTATAGCTTCATTTCGTCTCTCAACAGGCCATTTTTTTGTGCAATCGGTTGATTACAGAAACACCTACATGACAAGGTGTTTAATCAGTAACTCCAGCATTTCCCTGTTCTTATCAGGTAGCTTATGTACCAAAGCATGGACAGCACACACTCTGTAGTTTTGGTCATCGGACTCTGAAAGAGCAAAAAGTAATTAAATAAATGCACAATAAAATCAGGCATTAAAATGTTTTAGAAGGTCTGTAAGGTTTTCTTTTAAAAGACCCACAATCTCCACTTTAAATAAAAACGGACATGCACAACCCCGTACCTTCCTAAGGAGAGGGAACGCCTATTAAACTTGTGTGAGAGCGTTCAAGAGCCCATTTCTCCTTGTGCACGCTCTGTTCAAAAATTGCTGTTTGCATCGCTCATTAGCTTTCTTTTCAAAAGAAGATTTGCGATTTTCTCACTATGTCAGACTCACCACCGGTAAGTGAAAATGGGGACGAGCACATAGGACCGCCTTACTTAAACATATCACCAGAATGATTGACAATTATTAATAATAATAACAATAATTTAACTTTAGTGATCTCACATTGGAGAAATTTACCTTTACCCATTCCCTTGGGGAGCAGTGGGCTGCCACTGTGCAGTGCCCGGGGAGCATAGGGGTTAAAGGTCTTGCTCAAGGACCAAGAGTGCAGGCTGTGGGAATCGAACCAGGTACTTGCAACCTCCTGCTCTAAACACTAGGCCAACACTCCTCTAGAAGGACCACTAATTTTGATGATCCACCCGGAAAAATAACACCCTCCACTATATCTTTAATTTACTTAATGAAATTGTTGATATTCATGTTTAATTTGGATATACAGACAGATGGAAATCCTTTTTAATTAAGCTAACTTTAGCATTGAAACACATAAAAAAAGATATAAAGCACACAGAACAGAGCTGTCTCTGATCTGAAAGGGGTTTGAATGCTTCAATCTCGGCCGATTCAAATTTTTAACTATCAGGATCTCAAAGGGCAGCTTGGAACGGGACTTTTCTCCTGCAAATTTAATGAGATATACAATATTCATTTCAGTTCAAATGCAATATTTACAGCACATGCACATTAGATACCCACAGTCATCTCTAAACATTTTTAGTTCTGTAAACAAGACATAACCAAGTATAAAATATGTGAGTCTAAATCCGGTAAATGCAATATATAGAGTGTGTAACAAGTTCCAAGAACTGCATTGTATTTCTTAAAGGAAAAGCTTTTAATTAATGTGATCTAAGTTTGATTTAAGAAAAATATTCCTTTGATTTTACTGTCAAAAAGCAACTGTGCTCATTCGGTACTGCATATTCAGTAAATAAATAAGTAAATCAACTGATTAAAATGATCTTTTATCATTAGTGATCCTAGACTTCTAATCTAGTTTATAGAAGACATCAGATTTAAGGCTTTAGACCTTAAATCTGGGAACCACTATGCAGGATTCACCTTTATTTGGTCAGACTTAGACTCTGCTACTGAAGCAAAGGAAGATTTGATCTTAAGGGTGTCTAGAAAAGGTTACTGGAGTTGCCAAAATCTGTGTGTATAACCCAACTTTGAAAGACTTACTGACAGCCATGATGAAATCTTTGTGCAGCTTGAAAGTCATAAGAGGCTCAGAGAGACACCTAATGGAGGAGAAAAAAAAAGGCCCAGTTATAATTTACTGTTATTTGGTGAGACTGGACCTCTGAATGCAGCCACCTTTGTGTGTGAGTCAGTGATAGCTCTGAATGCATGGCTAGCAGCAGGGTGGATTCACAGAGGCATAATGGAGCCAGTGATCACTCCTGACAGTTAAGGACATGCAGCTGGTGGGGCAAGCTGACCTGAGGTAATTCTTCAAACCGCTGGTGATGGTTTTGTTGTCCCACATCTCAGGATCCAGCTCGAAATCCACAGGTGCCTTGGAAGCTGATGAAAACATGTATTCAGTTCTTTAACATTTTTAACACCAGCACAGTGATTATGATGCAATCTGCCTGCATGAAGCCAATAGGATCTGACACCACCAAACATGATGCTTAACAGGAAATTATAAATAGTGTCTGTGTCTTTGGTTTAAGCACACATGTGAAAGTGTGGTACCTTACTGAGATGGAGCTAAAGCTTAAGGTGGATTCTCGTGAATCGTGCTGACATTTTCTGTTCACATGTATGAAATGTGTGTAAACAAGATTAGCTTGGGTAATTTAATGAGGTCAGGACAAAAAAAAAAAAATGTCCCAGATGGTTGTTACACAGTTTGACCACAGAGAGGAGCTCTTTACTCACTCTGAAAGATTACATCATATTTGCAAAAGCAGGAGTCACTGTGATAAAAAAAAAAGATTTCATTCACAATTTAATTCCAAAATAAACTACTTACAAAAGACTGTGCTCATCAGCCTCTGCACTTTGGAGTTTACCCCTCCGATTCTATACAGCCCCATTGTATTTATGCCTGGGTGACAATAGGGGGAAAAAAAAGATTAATTTGGTAAAATGAACAATTTTTCAGTTCAGTAGCTGTCTATTGCAAATGCATTAGTCTTGTTACAACCACAAACATCAAAGTATTTAGTGGATGGAAAATCGGAATTACTTAAAATATTAGCAGACAAAAAGCTGACAAGTGTGGTGTCCTTCTGCATTTAGCTCCCCTGAGTCAATCCTTTGTAGAACCAAAATCAGTGACTGTATTTTTTGTACATTTTTCTTTTACAGAATAGTTGAAGCTATTTTAAAACACGATAAGAAAATCAAGTTCCAGATTTGGAGTCAGATTCCCAATTTTACTGAATGTCTGCCTCTCTGTCACACAAATATACATTGATACAAACTAGATCATTGTATATACGGCTTTATATTTGGTGCTGTGACCTCGGTCATTCTCTGGGTCTCTAACAGTGTTGCTTTCTCTCTATTGAAGAAAACAATCCACACAGCTTCATGTTCCCACCAACGTGCTGAACCATTGGGTTGTGTAGTCAGGGTCATAGAAAGTCTTGTTTTCCCTCCAGACTTGGCCTTTTGGGTGTTTTACGACCAAAGCGCCTTCCTCCTGAACCAGGTAGAGAACTCCTTCTTTCATGGATTAAGGGTTAATCAGCAATATGTAAAATGTTAATCTTACAATAAATGCTATATTGTCTTTAAACCTTGATCCTTGCTTCATCTGCTGAATTCTTTATTCTTCATAATGTATTTTGTTGACTAATATTGTTTAATCCTTTAAAATACACTTATATGTAATAACTTTATTACATACAGTAAATAGAGAATTGCTAAGTTCCTCTATTTGCACTTTAATTTTTTAGAGGTAAAAGAGAAAATAGAACTAAATGCAAGGTTAATATTACATGTATTATTTTTGTCCAACTCCTAAGTTCTGCACTAGTTTATGTTTGCTTTTGGCATAAAATACAAGGTAAAATAAATTGATGTTTGTGGTTGTAACATGACAAAAAGTGAAAAACTACTTTTGCACCTGTGGATCACATTCTATTTCAGTATATATTGTCATCGTAACTAATGAACCAAGTAAATTAATCACGGCCAGGCAGCATTCGAAACATGAAAGCTGGTGGGTTTAAATGCCTTACCTCTGGTCTCGACCAGGTCAATGCATTTCTTCACAAAGTTAAAGCCTGCCTCATTAAGATACGCTGGAATATAACACAAGAAAAGGGGAGGGTTGACATGTCAATTAACAGCTGGGTTAACTACAATTTACGTAGGAATAATCAGCTTTCCCTTATGCCTTGGCTCAAACTAACACGATTAATAAGATACAGCTTCTGTGCTGGAAGGCTCTGCTGTGTCAGCTGAGTGGGCGAACGCTGAATAACTGTGCTAATGAGCAAAAACAGCTATAAGTAAGAAAGAAACCTTTGTCTGTTCATGTGTGGTGGCTATGGACTTCTTTTAAAGCCTGGATACATGTCATTTAATGATGAACAAGGCTTTGGAAAGATGAAAAAAATACTACTTACTTTCCTCTTTTTTGCTCAGTATGGCTGGCAGGTTGTAAATCTGCAAGAAGTTTGGAAGAAAGTAATTACTTCATTGCTTTAAAATTTAAAAGAAATCAAAAGCCAGATAGTTTCGACTGTCTCAAAGCTCAACATGCTCTGTCAAGTATGTTGCACCTCAAGCCACCAGAAGAGGGTGCTAGTCCCAAATCAAAAAGTGACACAGCTGTCTTATCTGAGAGACAATTAAACAAATGGAAGCCAAACAACATCACGTATGGGACAAATGTTTCACAGATAAACAGGCAGAGATCCTCACCGGCTCCTTGCCATCCATGGCTTCCAACCACAGTCTTCTATTGGACTCTGACAGCGCCTGCAGTGTCATAACGCCATGCCTGGAAGGTTTTAGGAGAAAAGCTGGTCTCAGTATGATCTCATTGCTATGGGGCCCCTGGACGGACTGTGTTTACACTGGCTGATTCAACTATAAAAGGACTAGTGTAACTAAAATAGCTCATGTGCAAATGCTTGACTTCAAACTGTGTCCTCACTTGGCTCTGTGCTTCACAATCCAGTCCCAGCTAAAAGCCACATGTGTTTATGTTAGAGTGATGCATGTTTAACACCCAACATGCATGCAGAAAAATCTGTTGGCATCCCCGATAAAGATGTGTAAAAAATGTATTAAAATAAAGTAAACTAAATAAAAAATTCAGTCTTTATTTAAATGCACCTATAGCTAAGGATAATTACTGGTGACAATCTATTAGAAGGGGCTGCTCAGTGACGCAGAGGATAGCACTGCTGCCTTGCAGCAAGAAGGTTCCGGGTTTAATTCCTGGCCGACTTCAGTTTCCTCCCACAGTTCCAAAACATGACTGTTAGGTTAATTGGCTTCTCTAAATTCCCTTAGGTGTGAGTGTGTGCATGAATAGTTGTTTGTCTTTGTCTTGCCCTGCAATGGAGTGGCGAGCTACCCAGGGTGTACCCCATCTCTCGCCCGTAGATAGCTAGAGATAGACACCTCGAGACCCCGCTTGGGATAAGCGTGACGGAAAATGTATGGATGGAATCTATTAGAAATCAGTATAACATAAATGTAACTACAGCATCTTATTCTTTATTTATTAGAGTAACTAATTACATATGAGTAAATCAATGATTTCCTCTTCACTGGGGTATAAATGTGTTGTGATGGAGTTTCTTATGGGAAAGACAAAACAAAATGCTAATGAGGTATGGCCGAGCAATGGCAAACTTTAACAATGACTAAATGTCTAGATGGGATTTACAGTTTTTTCTCAAAGTTACTCTTAACTAAAGAGCAATGATTAAAAAGTTTGAAACGGCTTGAAAAAGGCCAAAACAGGCAGAATAGGGGTGAAACCAGGAGGTTATAGAACATCTACTGTAGGAGTCATCAAGGCAAAGCAGAAACCATAATATCACTATAAATGCAAGGTGAAGACTAAGAAAGAAAATAGCTTTGTTAGTGTCCGTGATGTAACGGTCACTACCTGATCTGTCCCTGAAGCACGATCGGTACCATCAGCTCAATTGAGCATGCGCAAACCGATATACACCCGGGTTTCCATAAACAATGTAATTATGGAACTAAAATTACATATTTCTATCATTAACTCACTAAATAATAATAATACACTTTTTTAAAACATTATTTTAGGACTTTTTCTGAGACAATATTGATGCTTTTTAAATGTTCTCCTTTTAGCTGGTTCTCTGACAGCATCCTCAGACATACTCAGAGCAGTCTGGGAAAATATGATTAAACTATGTTTATCTGCATTTTAGTTGTTTCTTTCTTTAGGTTATGCACTATATACTATGTAGTTAGCATGAAAGGAAAATGTAAACCTCCAAAAATCTAGCTTTAAGTTTAAATTCAATGCCGAAAATGTTAGCTCCCAGAAGTAGCATATGATCCCTTTTTGGTGCACATCAGGCAGACGAGTGATGAAACAGAAAAGATTATAAGATATTTATTTTCTCAAATATATTGTTAATCTTTAAGAAAGTATATTTTAGTATGCTTACTATATATTTTTTTTGGGGGGGGGGGTGTCTGCACGTTTGTGAAATGAGACTCAGATCAAACCTTTCTGCAGCAAGTGGATCTAGGATGATGAGGAACATTTTCTTTTCTATTACAAAGATGAAATATGTTTAAATGAAAGCCTACAGTTTTCTGACACCTTTGGTCCAACATTATGTTGTTACGGATGATGAACTGGTTTTAAGGTTTTTTTTACACATCTAAACAGGGGTGCCAATAAATTTGTCCATGTCTGTACTTTTAAACTTTAACATGTGCTGCTATAAACACAATTCTCATGCAGGCATCCTTTGCACTTAATTTGAACTGCAGCAGTGACACAGTCAGATGACAATGGGAAAGAAAAGTTCACCCCACCCAGTAGTGACAGTTAGTACTAGCATGGAGTCTAATTAGGTCTGTTACAGTACAGAGGAAAATAATAAGCAGAGGGATTTAGACACATTTTAAGGCAGGAAAGAAAATATTCTTACATTAAACTATAGTTGTGATGACAGTTTTACTGAGCTTCTGAGAAGGTTTGTGTAATTATTTGAGATTTTCACAGATTTTCATATTGAACGCTACATTTCTTTTCTGTTTTCTAACATCTGGGGGAACAAAAAATAAAGCCTTCTGTAAAAAACACCCATGCATCCCCAACAATTTAGTCAAATAAAGCCTTCCAGAATTAGCTTGATTATGGCCAGGCCATAGGTGTGACAATGTGTTGGGAATATAACAACGATAAATGGATGAGCTGAAATCTGTGCCTGCATTGTCCTTATGCTTGGAGCCTGCACCTTGGTATACGAAGTACAAGATAAATGAGTTGTCCTGCAAATAAACTGCTCAGCAACACTCACCAAGGGTGTGCAGTGCTGGGCAAGCAGCTGCTGCACATTTACACGCAGAAAAAAGATAGGCAAATTCTATCATCTGAAGTGTGGAGCTCTATGATTAGTTCATTTCAAGCCTTAAATATAGACATCTTAGTCAGGGTTTAAAGCTGAGTTATGGAGCAGACAGGCTCTTCACTAAATCCTTTATTCTATTCTAGAGCCATCTTTAATAAGAAATTGGATTATCTATCAGCCTAAAAAAAACAAATCAATAGCAAATCTTCCCTACAGTGCTGCATAAATGTATTTCTTTATCAGTTATTTTTTGTTTTTGTTTCAAATATTTCTCAAACCAATAAGAGCAACAATGGCATTGAAGATCGAAATATATTCATAAACACTATTATCACTGCGTCATACACACTGTATGTAAATATCTGCATAGAAACACATAAACTTTGTTTATTTATCGTTTTAGATTCAATGAGATTACCAAACTATTTATATCTGGAAAATGCCGGAACAATGAGAGAAAGGCTTTTCTGAAAAGTTGAGTCCATTTTAAAGGTCTACGTACAAAGTATGCTTCCAATAACCTTGGGAGAGCTTCAGCAGAGGGATTTCAATTATTTTTATGTTTGTGATGATTTCATGGCTTTGTAAGTGACTGATTTGGCCACTGTTGAAAATGGAGGTACACCCGTGAATACATTTCAGGGTACCGCTGAAAACACCATGGTTCCTTCTGTGATAAAATGAGAAATTCTACATAAATCAGGAAAATATATAAGAAAGAAATTGGGGACCTACACAAATCTCATTAAGTCTTGGGTGCAATTTCCAGATGCCTAAAGATCCCACTTTAATCTGTTTAAGCAAATTGCATAGGGATGTCCTGCATAATTCCATTTAGTCAGGACACAGGTTCTGTTCCCCTTAAATGAATGTCATTTTGTGTGAAATAGGATTATAAATCCCAGAAGTAAAGACTTTAGAGCAACTCAGATGGATAAGCCAATAACATAAAGTTAAAAAAGTTATTTTTTTAAATGACAATACCATAATATTTTATATTTATATTTGATTATAATAAAAATAATAGGGAAAAAAAACAGGGAGATTTCTGCAACCTTATAACATCCAACTGTTAACATGGTGGTGGTGGTATCATGTTATGGGGATGTTATGCCATAGGAGAGACAGATGTACTTCATCTTAAAAATGGTGCCATGAGAAAAAAAAAAATTGTTCGAATACATCTCACATCTCTATATATCTAGTATTTCAATGACTTCCAAGTTTTATCTTTAAAATAAATCCATCTCTTATTTGTCAGGCACTGAGCAAACATAAATATTTTTGGCTAATCCCATCTGACCCAAAACAGGATAGGTTTAGTCTACCCTCATGTTGGACAGCAAGAACAGATGATTAATGTATCTTCATTCAGTCTAGATGTTATTATGTTTTAAACGTGTTTTTGATAGCCAGAGAGCAAGAGCCACAATTAGGTTGAAATTAACATGCAAACATGCAGCTCATGCATCTTCTTTGATCACTTCACATACCGGACTTTACAGAAAAACCGAAGCGGTCTGAAAAGAGTTCCACGAGAGATGTCATTTCTACGGTAACAGGAACACAGACACAGGATGGAACAGGTTCAAAAAGACACGACTATCGATGCTGCAGACATACAGGCAAATATGAGCTGGGGAGGGGAGGGGCTGGGGAGGTGTGACATGAGGAACATGCAGCAAACAAGACTTCTGACATGGTTAAAACTGACTTCTTGAAGATGTTAATGGACCAAAATTTTTCAAAAGGTGACACATACAGGTACATTGAGTTCAAGAGAGCGTACAACTAGAAAATAACATTTCACATGCAGTTTCATGATCACAGGAAGTTCATAGAGTGTTTTGCCTTTGTGTCTTATATCAATCTGTTGGTTTTTGAGGATTTTTAGCAATATTCCGTTGAACAGAAGAGAAGCAAATGCCATACAGACTTAGCAATGTAAACAGCATTAAATATCACAGTTTGCTTGTGCCCCCAGACTATACGAGTAACAACAATTCATGAATATGTTTCACAGACCTTTCCACCACTTCGATATCAAAGCAGAAACGCTTGTCGATGGAGTCTGTTTTCCTCCGAATGCAGGACTTGAGCTTGAAAGTCTCTGGCTGATTCAAGACAAGGCCATTCTACAAAAAATAAAAAAAATACAAGAATATCCACACACACAGAAAAAAAAAAGTGCAACAACATTCATTGATCCATCATCACCATGAAAAGGTAACAACAGAGAAAAAAAGCTAGTGTCCACAATCAATTGATTTCTAGCTAGACGTGTCCCTGGCTGGTGAATGACGGGTTGGAAATCCAATAATAAATCTCCTCCCATATAAGTGAAGGTCTCTTAACTAAATGCTACCAAGCCACACAATGTCAAATGAGAAAAAAAGCCTTCGAAAGTAAATCCTGAATAGAATAATTCACCCAACAGCAGTTTAAAGACTATTTCTATTTCTCAAATTTCCTTTTCTTCTTATCATAAGATCCTGGTACTTTTTTACATTCTTTCAGGCCTTCCTTGAATTAACAAGTCTTTTGTTTTCAGTACCAATTGAGTTAAGGTGACAGCTTCCTTTTTCCCCTCCCTTGGGGAAGAAACAAGCAAGCTCTTTGTCTCACCCACACAGATTACACTTGCTCTGTTTTTCCCCTTTCTCTCCACTTTTATCAGGTTCATCTACAACCTAAAGGAAAGCAAACTGAACCATGCTGAACTACCTGTTTCCCAGCTGACTTGGTTTCCGTGTTGATCATGGTGAAGGTCTTGCTTCCTTTGTCATAGGTGCAGTAGTGACGCGTCCATGTACATCCCAAAGGACCTGGGTCGGTGACATGAGAAGGAAAATGTCTAAAAGCCGTTTTTTTTTTAACCACAGGCTTCAGAAAATCAATCTGCAATTCAGTTGTGATGAATCCAAATTTGTTTATCGCTGTTGATAAAAATCTATTATTTGTGGTAACACCCCCAGCACACATACATGTGTGAGAGTACATCAAAGTGAATCTGTAAACAGGATGAATTATGGAGCTTTGTGTGAGAGGATCTCTTCAGGGAGAGCCTGGGAAAGCTTGAGACGTGTTTATGGTGATGGATGTAAAACTACGCACTTCTAATTGAAGCAGGACTGAGTGAGCCTGAAAGGCCGGGAGGCCTGATAGCAGGACTCACGTTTCTCCTGGACGTACAGGAAGCCTTCCATGGTCCACTGGCCTGGGGGTTTGTAGTCCTGATCTGCAGTCCTTATCCTGTTCATCAGCTTCTCCACTTCTTGCTTGGTGCTAACAAAGTTGTTCCGTGTCTGTGAGGTAAAATGCAAAATTATGTAAAGTTGCAGCACACAGTCTACTCCTGCTGAAGCAGAATAGTTAACAAGACCATTTAAATAAATTGTAAGAATCTGCCTATTTTTAATTTTGGATCTTAGAAAATTTTACATAAAGCTTTAAAATGCTAATAACTGTGAGCAAAAAAAGAAACTAATTTATAACAAAAATAATTAAACTGAAACTGACTGTTCTCCAGCCAATCAAACAAACCATAGCTATCTATGAAAACTACCTTAAAATATCAATCGAAATGTGTTAAAAATGACACTTCAACCGTCAGGCTAATAAAATATGTTTTATGTGATTAGATGTGGAAAATAGTCTTTTTGCAGCAAATGTTTTTATTTTGAAGGCACCCCAAAAACCAACGCAGAAAAATATTAAAAATATTTGGGTGGTCAAAAATGAGAAAGAAATCAAGAAAGGCTAGGAAAAAAAAAAAGCAATACAATTACTTCCAATAAGTGAACGGAAACTACAGAATAACAGTAAAAAAAAAAAACCTATGTATCAATATTAAGTGTTTGGATAAGAATACTAATAAAAGGGAAAAACAAAACAGAAGGTTAAAACAAAAAAAAAGAAAAAAAAATATTTTTACATCTAAGTAATCGATAATTTTTTAAACATGTTGACTTTAATGGCAAACTCATTTCAATTTCATGCCATTATTTCAGCGATGGATTACATTTATTAATTTCTTCATGTATTTTTGATTATGGCAGGATTGGTCCTCCATATAAGGATCCATCGTTCTGCTGAAGATAAAAACACCCTGTGGGTTATGTAGAAATCGTCTTCGGTGGGATCTCCATGTGAAGCCATCAGGAACATCCAGGTTAATTTTCTTTTCTTGAAAATTCCACCTTTTAATGTTTGGGGCTCGCTTGGGTAGCCCAAACAGACCTTTTCTTTTTCTTTTGAAATATTTCCTCGCAGATGCTTTCTAATGGTTACTGAACTGAAGTCATCAGCAGTGATGGCTTTCATTTGAGGAGACGATCCTCCCATGTCGAGACGAACAGCCAATCAGATCCACACCATTCTTAAACTGATCTTAAGATTTTGACCAGGAGAGTACCATTTAAACCCTTTCTTATTCCAGTCCCATTGCAAACAAATATAAGTTTGATACATATTTTAATATTGAGATTTCATGTGAAACTATTATTTCAGGTGGTCATGAAATTTATTTGTAACATTTTTACAAATTCATCCAAAATAGCTCCATCTAGGTCAGACTGGAGATAAAATGTTTCAGCATCAATTTTCAAATTTCTATTTGAGCTGAAATCCTAATTTTTGACTAGGACACATTTTTTTTTCTTTGAGCTAGATGATCACAGTTTTATTTGAGTTTAAATCTTTTCGGAAGATAAAACTCTGTGTCAAACGTTTTGTGCTTGTTTACGGATGATAATCCAACCACCACATCGTGTTAGTTATTTTTTTCTTGCTTTATATTATATTACAGTTTGTTTAAGTTGGTTATTTCTTTCAGACAGGTATTTTCTAATGGATGCACACTTTAGTTAATGTCTGTCTGAATGGTTTATTTACACTTACATTTTTTGTTTGAGGTGCTGCGGAAGCAAACCAGCTGGAGGAGGAAACCTGGAGCGTACCATTTGTTTTTTGAAAGACTGATGGGGGAGACTTGTATCAAGTTGTTTTTAATTAGTTAATTTTGTCACTTAAATAATGTCACACTGCTTTATTTTTTTATTTTTATTATTGTTTCTGCTAAGTAAAAGTTAGTTTTGCTTTATTTGTTTCATAGAATGGTTTATTTAATTTTGTATTTATTGGTTCTTTTGTTATGTTGTCCCTCCCTCATTTGGTAGACTTGGATTACTCCATCCCTATTTAAGCCGCCTTTAGTTCTTTCTTTGCAGGTCAGTTTTTTGTTTGAGTTGGATCCTCAGTTGACCTCAGGTAAGTTGGGCCCAGATCCATGCTATTTATTATTTAAGTTATTTTGTATTGCTTTTGAGCCTTTGTTAACTATTTTTGACAAAATTAAATGAAAGTACTTTTTCCAAACACCTTTTGTCCTTATTTAAGTTTGGTCCCTCACACCGCTCTCAACAGCTTTTCTTCCTGGATTCCTCTTTGTGGAGGTACATATACATTTAATTGGTTTGGGAGGCTTTTCTTTAAAGCTTTTCTTTTCTTACCTTTTCTATCAAATCCAGATTTGTGAATTACCCAATAAATAACTTGTCTTTTTGACAGATTCTCCTCCCTGAGCTCTGGATCTCTGCACCTCCTCCAGAGTCCCCAACCACCTCTTTGCCTTGCATCCGGGATCAGTTTTATGGCCACATGCCATCAAGGTTGCTATTGTTTTCTACACTTTTCATTTAGGATAGGGGTCCTGTGAGTTGTTCAAAGCATAGCTTATTGTTTTACAACAGAATCCTAAATAGCTGCACAACTTACCTGTTTGATGATGCTGCCTGTATTGAAATATTCTCTAATAACCATCTGATGCTTTCACAGTATAAACAGAAGAAATCTTTTTTTTTTTATCAGTAAAATTTTTGAAAGACATTTTTTTCTGTGCAGTTCAGATCTATACAACACAGTGTGTATGGCTATCACATTACCAAAAGTAAAAAAGATCAAAGGGTTTATATTTTTTTTTGCAAGGCACTGTATCATTATGAAGAATTCCCTTACTGTGCCAAAAATTAAAGCAGTGTGACAAATGCCTCTAATTTGTGCAGCTGTATGAAGACACCCATGGGAAGAATAATTAACAACCTTGTTTAAATATATTTCATAATTATATTTAAAAATATTCTCGATGTAATTTGAACTTAAGAACAAGATTCTGCTTTCTTTTTTTTGGGCGGGGGGAGTTAAAAGGTCAAGATGAGGCTGTTTCACATCTCGGAGCAGAGTGCTGCGACAGCTTCACCTTTGCCAGTTCCTATTAGTGTTCCCTGCATCTGAAGACATGGAGAGAGGGTTATAGAGTGAAAATTGTCAGAGCAATGCCTCTGACATTTTGGGTCAGGAATAAAATTTGAACCCTCGGGCTGAAAGCATTGAGGTCGCAGTGATGGAAGACGGAACGGTAGCGGGGGCTGCAGTTTTATTTTCAACTCCTAAGTGTTTTTTGACACAGTACCATTAAATGGCCCGCAGTAACTGCCTGCAACGTCACACCGAAAATATCTGTCCTCCACACAATCACACAGTGAAAAAAAACAAAACAAAAACAAAACGTTCTACTTGTTATATCTGGGCAAGATAAGCTGCAGAATCTGATTATGTGGCTGGTTGCCTTTGTGTGCAACCCTTTGAGGTGAAGCGACTTACGTTCTGTAGGTTGAACTGGAGCTGCTGTTTGTATGGCTCGAATTCATGCGCCAGCTCATATCCTTCATGGTAGAATGTAAACAAACCCTGAAGAAAGGCCAAGAGCTGAAAAAAGCCACAATTTAACATGGTGAGCTTTTGTGGTAACAAACATTCTGAAGCTTCATTACAATATCAAAAGGAAGAGTCACATTTAAAGCTGACATGGTGATAGTGTATTAGAGAAAATCCAGCAAGAATTTCACTGCTACATAAACACTATAATTGATTGATCATATTAAAATACATTGATTTATTGGTATTTTAATTTTAATACATAAATAAAATAAACACCTACACACACCTACATTTTTTATTGTTACACTTTGACTATCTATGTTTTTACAAGAAGAAATATTCAGAGTGAGATTTGTCCACCTTTTGAACAACTGAAACATACAGTACTTTCTTATTTCAACCTAAGCAGTGCAGGGTGAAGGAACAGCAGCTAACGGTTTAAAACTATGCAAGACTTTATAGTAGAGATAAACCAAAAAAACATTTCTGCTGACTAGAATCTATCAGTTTACAATTGGTCCTGTTGCACTGCATAAACTCAAAAAATGAACCCTTATTTCTTCCCATGGAGAGCGTTTCTATTAGCTAAAACACTCTTTAGTGGGGAAGGCACTGCTGGGGAAAGGTGTTCAAAGTTTTCGCCTTTTAGTATTAAGGAATATGTTTTAAATAAAGTGAGAAGCAACACAATGAAAACTGTTTTTTTTTTTTTTTATGTTGGTGGTTCAACTTAGCCTGGGTGCCAGTCCGAACTTAGTCCCGCCCACAAGGTTTGAGTTCGGGGAAGTTCGGTCTGGCTCTGCTCCATAGTAGCGCGAGTATTAAAGCCCACTGTCAGGCGATCCAATCAAATTGTCAGGGCGGACTTTATACGATGATGGACAGATGATCAAGAGTAACGTAATCAACCACGTGACCAAAGCGCGCTAGGGTGACAACAACAATGGCTGCCGCTGGAGAGTTTGGGTGAGTAGATTCTGCTATTAGGTCTGTTCTAGAAGATATCGACAGCAAATTAATTTTAAAAGAGGAACAGAGAAACGCGATCAAGTCTCATCTTCTTATTATAGGCATGCAACTGCACGCTTTGATTTTTGTGGACAACAACTATGCCTCGCTTAACATACGTCACGCACTCCGTTGCTCTTATTGGTTGTAGGTCTATCCAATTGAGTGCAGAGGCATTTTTTTTCCTGGTTCGTTCGAAACACGCCCCATAATCACAGCTCTATGGAGCAGTATCAGACTCATATTCTGACTAGAATTGAGTCGGACTACGTCAGGCTAGGTTCAACTACCGAGCTGCAAGAACTAGAGAGGACCACCACAAGGTGACACCTTCTACCTGTCATGGAATATGATGAATTTGGAAATTATGGCAGCTGCTGGCTATACTAATAGTGTTAAATGCTAATATAACTTTAAATAGTCAATTTCATAATGATTTTGACTTTGAGTTAAAATACCATGTTTTAAGGCTTATTCTTTTAAGTTCCTAGACTGCTCTTTATATAAACCATCAATAATTGTTCACATTTTGAAAGGCTAGAGAAAAAAATTTTTTCTTTCAATGATGCCCTAAAATCATTTAATACTACAAAAAAAAAAAAAAAAAAAAAAAAATTCTGTTTTGAGTTAATTTAAGAATGTGAAAAATGTGTTGTTGTTTTTCTGACAATTTAAACAGTGTTGCAAAATGTCAACTTAATGGGGCTGGAAATGAATTTCCTTTTTACCGTAGCGTCGAATTAATACTTCAAAACTGTAACAACATCCAGACACATGCTAGAGAAATTAAGGGTGGGTGTGACTAAAACTAAAATCAGTATCAGCAGATTAAAGACTCACAAAAACATTGAAGTTCAGAAATAGACTGAAAAACTTTAAATGTTCATCCAGGCAGATTACCTTTAAATTGCCCGTGTCTTTTCTGTATGCAGAAATCACTTTTGTTCAAATGAAATATCCACCCCAATAACTCTAATATTAAATTTGATGATTTTGTAGATTCTCATGTTTTTAACACTGCACTAACTATGACAGCAGGGAAAACTGTAGCTCTTTAGAGCTGACAGATATTGATCTTACTTTCTGTATACCACACAGCCAATCTCAACCACTGTAAGAAAGTAAAGTACTCCAGTAGTGTAGCAGGTGGAAAAAAAAAACTGATCTCATCTTGAGCAAAGAGGATCCCACAAACATGGAGCTGCACTCAGTCAAATCCTTGGACACAACCGCTGATTTGATTTCAAGGCTGAGGTTTGGTATATCAAATGAACAAGGATGGATCGCCTTATCACAGCTGGGGTTGAGCCCTGTTATATATTTTTTTCCACTCACAACTCTATCTGCAGATTTGCATTCCTGGCATAGCATATAGGCTGCAGCCAGAGGACGTAAATAGAAAAGGAGCAATGAATAAAGTTTGCTCCTGACTCTCTTTTCCAAGGATTTAAAAGCAGAGAATTTAATCTTTTTCAGAGTTTGCTTCTTACATCTTTAAGGTAGTTGAGTGTTATAAGCATAAGTCTCATCTAACAGCTAAAATTTGATTTAATTGGATCTGCCTTTGTCTTCATCAGTGATAAGGAAACAATGGGGAATAAGTAAAAAGAATAAATGTGTGCTTTTTGTCATCATGCTTATTAAAACGAGGGGGAAATAATTATTCTAGAAACAGCTTTGACAAAAAAACAAATAAATAAAATGACTTGTTTTCCACCCGAATTAAAGCAAAAGCAACAAAAAGCACAGGAAAGCAATTTAATTCACAGAAGAAAGTGTCTTTTTTTTCTTACCGGTTCAACAAACTCAAATTTCTTTTTTTCCTGCACTTCTTGAATTTTGAAAACATACTCAAGAGAAGTATCATAAAAGAGCTGTCTCTCCTTGTCAATCTGCATATCAGCCTGAACACAAACAAACAAAGAAGGTTTAAGTCAGCAGAAGGAAATGATTCAGCCTTGATAGAGTGAATGCTTCATTAATACCCACACTGTGTGTACAGAGAGAATTAAACATCAAAGAACAGTACACATATACACAGACACCTGCAACATTGTTTTTTAAAGACGGCTGAGCTGACCATAAAAAAGAAAGAAAAATAATATTCCAAATACATGTAACCGGTACACGATAAGGGAATTCGCTCTGGTTTTACCTCCTGCAGGTATCCCTCTTTCTTTTTAGATGACAGGTTGAGATGTTTCTCCAGTGTAGAGTAGTATTTCTCTGTCTCCTTATCGAATTTCTTCTTTACCTCCTAAGAAAGATGAAAGGTTTTGGCATTACTTGGAATAGGAAATAAATAAATGCTCCAATCTTTCATCTGAGCTGTAAGACGGAGTCACCACTAGGTGGAGATCTAACTACAGTGCAGCTTCCCAGGCCATTTGTCAATTGTCACTTAAAATTCCATCAATAGATTATTGTAGGTCATAAAAGTGGCATTAAATGCGTGTAATGACAAGTCGACAATGTCAGCATGTCTGTGTTGATCAATACAGTGCCCAGGCATGGGACTGGGGTTCAAACCAAAACACATAGCACTGTAAATCACAAATAGCATAATGCATCTGGCATGGTCAGAGGCAGAAGAGGCTAGAGACTGTTTGCATTTTCCTTCCTATCCACTTGCCTGCATGGATAGGTCAAACTCCCCTGATGCAGACAGTGCAGAGGGAAGAAATGGCTTCTTATACCAGATGGTCAACTATTCTGTGGCGGTCCAAAGGTGCCACAAATTTATGAACACTTTGTGATACAAATGGATGAATAATCTAAGCCGATGCAAAATAAAATGCCTCATGAAAACAAATATGTATTAAACGAGGATTACATAAAAACAGAAATGTTCACGAAATAAAGTATTAAACACATTCAGAAAAGAAGCAACCATACAAACCAAAGCCAGCTAAGATCTCTCAGTGTTTAAAAACAATCTTTTCATTCTGGTGGGCTATAACAAGGCTTCATTACTAAGGTACTGGAGAGGAATTTTGCCATAATGGGTAAAAGCAAAGAGCTTTTTCAAGACCTTCATAATCTTATTGCTGCAAAGCACAGTGATGTAAGCAGTAACATGTATTTTTAAACTTCTGAATGTTGCAGTTGCAGAAGGAAAAAGACCCTCAACCAACCATAAAACAGCCTTGATTGTACGGCGCTTGATTAAGGCAAGAGCTCCGGCAAAGGACTCAAAAAAAAAGTTGTTGTTCATTAACCTAAGTTAAATATATCCAGGTTCACCGCCCAAGGCTTTACAGGTGATAAAAAGCATGTAGGATCTTGATCAAAGTCTGCTGCAGCACATTTCTACATGCCGGTTAAATACTGGGAGAAAATTATTTAGTCAAATCAGACCAAATTAGAATGGAGAAACTATGTTTAGAAGTGAAATAGCAGTAGCGATGTTTGAAGGGTGAAACATTAGACTTCATGCTAACAGAATAAAAGATAATAAAGAAATCTTAGAGTACATGTGTGATAAAAACACATGGTGGCATGACAGTTTTTTTTTTAGGGGGAGAATGATCTCTAAACCCCCCAAAGGAAAGTTTTATCCAGTTGCAGAAGAAAAAAAGCTGCTAGAATGACCTAGTGAAGCAGCTGACTTTTATCCAATTAAAAATCTATTGAAAGAACTAAAGATCAGAGTGCATAGAACAGACTCCCTGAGCTATTAGGATTTGAGGACAGGTTGTGTGGAAAAATGGGTCAAAATCACATCTAAGTAATGCATTCAAGCTTTTTCTCGATAAAGACACACCTTAAAGTTGCCATTAGACTAAGTGTTTAACAAATTTCAATAAGCGTTCCCTGTGGAATTTTAATTAATTGCACCTCACCCAATTTATGTCGTAATTTGTATTGATTTTTAAATCCAGTGTGGATTTAAATCTAGTGTGAATTTCATACTTAATTAAAAATATAATTCAGAGAAACATTAAAGTGTTCAAAGCTTATTTTCTCTGCTTATTTCACACAATGCATTTGTAAATCACTTTTTATTATTGATTTAATCATTGTGTGGTGACTTGCTGCTGCACATAATATAATTACTTTATCTGCCAGGCTTTCTCAGTCAGTGGGCGTGGCTAAAACGGCATTAGCCAATATTACTGGTGATTTACTGAGATTAATGACTCTGTGTTTCTGTGATAAGCCATGGTTGCAGTTTGAATTATTTCATGGTCCACTTCGGCAAAGTAAGCACAAAGTAACTGAATAAATCCAGATATGATTTGATAACATTAAAAGTGAAGACCATGTATTTGAATATTTACAGGCACATTTAAATAATTGAAAATCTATATTTATTTTCTTTCAGTTTTATTCATATGATCACATGTATTTATTATATCCAATGATTTATTCATTTATTACACGTCGGCTGCTTTTAGCACTCACATGGCTGCTTAAATATTCCACCCATTTACAACCCAAAAGAAAAGAAATCAGATCAAATTTGCGAGCCTTAATCAAGCTCTGCCCAAGCATAGAGATCCTTCTCTGGGGGAGGAGCCGCTCAAGTGTCTCATCTGAAATTGTGACCTCCAAGCTGAGCTCTGCCTACCTAATGCTGCTTACACCCATGCAGATATAGGGAGAAGACAGACCCCAGAGGGAGAATGGAGAAAGTGTTAGGAAATGGCCACTGCAACCAGATCCTCCTTGTTTGTTTTTATTCCCATGGCTCTGAGATTTAGCAAGTCTAATCTACCAGCTACTGATTTGACCTAGAGGAGAGTTTTGTCACAACAACTCTGGAAGCAGTTAAGTGCAAGAATTCACACACAAGATGCAGCTATGTCCCTACATAACCATTCCAAGTGCAGCTAAAAGAAAAAAAAAAAGGGAAAATCAATAGATAATTTCATGTAGCAGCATCTTATTTCCATCTGTCTTAGCATGTCGGCTCCAGAAATGATCTTTTCAACAATGTGAAGAAAATCAATTCTATATGTGCCTTTATTTCTGAAGCAACAAAAAATGAAACAGCTTTAAAACTAAATAAATACGCGATCAAATATACGCCGTCCGTTTTGGTCAGAGTATACATTAGCTTAGAGTTGGAACTAATGTCATATTAACCTTAGGCTTCAACAATGCATTTAAACTGCTGTTTTCTGGGGTGGTGTGACAATACAACAACTTTAATGGTTTTTTTTTTTGAAAGGCAGTTTGATGGCAAAGTTTGAATTCTTTGCAGATCTAATCCTGCCAGGGAAAAATATATACATAGACGTTAAAATAAATATACACCCCATCACATCTGGATGGAAGCCATTCAGCAAGTTGCATTTAAATTATATGCCGTTGTGATTATTAAGCAAGTTCTGACATAATTCTTTGACCACTCTTTGCTGCAGAATTGATAGAGTTACTGTTAAAAGGTTGTTTTTTAGTTTAACTGACCTGACTTTTCAATATAGTCCATACTTTTTGCTCTTGGTTAAGCTATTCCAGTATACTAACAACAGTAAATTATATTTGTTGTTAAACCCAATTTAATAATTATCTGCAATCTTTGTCCTGCTAGTGCGCCTTATGTTGTCCAAGTTTCAGCCATTGGGCAGTTAAAGATAAGTGGAGCTTAAAGAGTTGCAGTGCAGCAGTATCTCTGACACTAACACAGACACACAACCAGAAACCGCCTCCATCATACTCGTTGGTTTCTACAATGTTCTTGGATACGAAATTACTACATTCAGTTCTGACCACAATACTTTTCTGTACAAGGAATTCACTTTGTTGATTTTTATAGCTGATTTTGGAGCAGCTTTTTGTCTCAGTTCATGTTAGCTGAGACAACAAGATGTAGTGGCATGAAACTGGCTTTTCCTGGCGACGACAATGTTCAAGTATCTCCAGTTTATGTAAAATTCCTTGTTATTTAATGTTGGAAAAATGTGGGTATTCCAAAAACCTCTGGCACATTCCGTGTAAAATATATTTTTACTCCTTTGTATGAAAGGGGCTAATAAAATTCTACTTAATCACAAATTTACTAACATAATGACCACACTCTCCAGATTAAAGTGTTTTAAAGAGGTTTTATAACTTATTTTCTTACAATCCCGAAATTAAGAGAACTATAAATCTATGGATTTCGCTGGATCTGCTTCTGGATAACCATCACTTTAATGAAACTGTAATGCTAAGCACAGTTAGACACCTGATGGTTACAAGAAGCAAGGCGCAGCTATCTAGAAAACCTGCATTTAAAAGGTAGCAGCTGTATAATAAAGCCCTTATGTATAATATAACTAAGAAAATCAACAATTAATAGAACTTCTGATCCCATTGCCTGTGTTGGAAAATCCCTCTAGTTGTTTGCATACTGTTTAAGGTTAAATGGTTGTGCCAAAAAAATCTAAATTTTCTTTTTTTTTTTTTTCAACCAATATTGCAGTTGCAATTTTATTTAAATTTTCTATGGTATTACATGTAGATGTTTCTCTCCAAGCTTTAATTGTTTTCATGACCTGTAAAGTTTGCCTGATCAGAGTCTGTTATCTACTTTTGTCCAGAAATTAAAGTGCATGCTTCTACTCCCATGCATGAATCTGTTAACTAGCTGCAACTTGCTTTTTCCTTCTATGTGGGGGGAAATTCCATTTTCAGGATATTACCACCACCTAAAGGGCTGGAGTGAGAAATTTAGTGAATTATTTCTTTTGTTTAATGTAATGTGACAATATCACATGCCTCTTTAATTTGAAAACTTTTTTTTAAATTGAAATCATTTTGCAAATGCAATTAGTTTACCAGCCGCAATGTAGATACAAATTTGGATTTAAAAAGAAAATGGCATAAAAGCATAACATAAAGCCCCAAAAATGTGACATTTAAATCCTTAATGAGCATTAGGAAACTTCTGATTAGGACTTTGCAGCTTAGGAACAACAGGAAAGTTTACTGTCCTCTTAGGTATGGCGACTCTTTGGGAGGAGACATAATTTGGAGAGTGCAACATAAACAAACACAGGCGCACACTAGAGATCCCTATAAATTAAGAGCTTTTGCTGAGTCCCACAGTCACAGCAGGAATCTACCAGAACTGATGACTAGTGTGAGCACACCCAGAGAACACACCGTGTACAGCAACTCTTTCACACTTACAGACAGGAGTGTTTGGGCCAGGGCTGCAGTGAGTACGTGAGGTAGATTCTGCCTGATTGAATCACGCAAAGTGTTAAAATGTTTTGTTTTGATCCTAGCAGGACATGTATAAACTGGTACGTCTGTAATGATAGCCTA